AATAGCTGATGTTATTTTAGTGCTCAAAACGGGTCTTTTTGTAAGACACATATTATAGACAACGTACATTTACCTCACAAAATATAAAACGAAAGCCGTACATTTAAAAGAGAGCTTAAATTCCTTAGGATTTCCTCCTGAGGCGCCGGTTAGGGGTTGCATGTGCTGTGTAAAATGTGGTATGAATAGACGGTAAGAATTAACCAGACCAAGAAAACTTAGTTGCGTCACAGAGGTGGGTAGTGGATACTGGTTGATAGCCTCCATCTCTTTTCGCAATGGTGATATTCCATCCGCACTAATCATGTGTCCTAAGAATTGAATGTTCTCAACTCCGAAAACACGCTTTGATTTATCGCCATGCCATTGCCGTTTAATTTTTGTAATACCGCCCGTATGTGACTCTCATGCGCGACCATGTCCGGGCTGGCATTCAGTAGGTCATCAATGTATGCTTTGGCAAATGGTACGTACCACAGAAGATCGTCCATATACCGCTGGAACGTTTGTGCAGCATTCCGAAGGCCAAAAGGCGTCCGCACAACTTCGTATGAACCAAATGGGATGGTAATGGCTGTTTTTAGAACGTCTTCTTCGGCCACCGGAATATTGTGATATGCGCGGACTAGGTCCACTTCAGTGAATACAGTGGAACCCGCAAGACAGTTGGTGAAGTCCTGAATATGAGGAACTGGGTACCTATCAGGAATGGTTTGTTTGTTTAACGCTCTATAATCACCACATGGTCGCCAGTCTGTTTGATTTTTCCTGGGCACCATATGTAATGGGGAAGCCCACTGACTCTTGGAAGGGCGAATAATGCCTAGCTGAAGCATATAGTCAAATTCAGCCCTGGCGATTTTCAGTTTATCCAGCGCTAGCCTCCTCGGTTTTGTGAATACAGGAGCGACATGTGTTTTTATGCTATGCGTCACCTTAGGACTTACGTGAGAGGTCCGAGAGTTGGATGACGTCAGGTTTGGAAAACCCACCAATGTATTTCTAGACCTTTCGGTTGATATTGGAGGAGATTGTACCAGGTTTAGGGATGTGATTGTGCTGGCTTTTCCTGTTGTGTATCTAGAAGTTTCCCTCAACGTCAACCTTCGCTTCTTTGTGTCTACTAAGAATTCATACCTCTCCAAAAAATCTATACCCAGTATTGCGAGATCTAGATATGCTATGGTGAACACCCGAGGGAATTGGCGTTTGGTCCCAAGATCCAGGGTGATGGCCTCTTGTCCGAACGTTTCTATTTGTGTTTTGTTGGCGGCCTGAGGCATGACTGTGGACATTTGGCGTCCGAGCTCGACCTTGTTTTGTGGGAGAACACTAAGAGCGGCTCCCGTCCCTACCAGGACTTCTATACCAGAATTTCTGTCGGTGAATAGGCAGCTGTTCGGGCACCCCTCCTCAGCAGTCGCTACCTGAGAAGGGGTCTTAAGTTTCCCCGTTTGCCAGGGGATTGCTCGGGCCAGTCACATGGTTTTGTACATCGTTTACATTGTGCGCCGTATTTCCAGTGATGTCAACAGAACTGTCCGGAAGGCCTGGAGTGTCTGGTTCTACTTCGTGATCTATGTCTGAGTGATGACTCTCCTCTTTGACTTTGATTCAGTTGGATTTGAGCCACAGCTTCCGTCATTGACTTCCCGTTTGCTACTAATTCAGTGATGATAGCGTCCTTAGACGAGCTAGGACTAGTATGCAGTGATAAGTGGCTGTCTCTGGCAGTTCCTCTCTCCATAATGCGACTGGCAACTTCGGCCAATTTTGTAGGCGGGGTTTTCCGGTCCTGTGCGTCAAGTGCACACTGGACATGATGCGGCGGTGCCTGTGTCCAATCTTCCTTGAGGATGGCTTCTCCAACTGCATTTCTTCCGCTATCTTTTGTATCTCAAAAACTGTGATGAGGATATACCTCCCAACATCTCCCCCTGTAGCAGACGTTGGATGCGTCGGCTGCCTGACGTTGGTAGACGGCTTATTATCGCACGCTTGTGCGTGGAATAAGGGTCTTCTTCAGGGGCATTGATTATGAGATCACGGACCTCTTTACTGACCGAGAGAAGAAGAATGGAGCACAAGTCTTTGTATCTCAGTTTCTATGACTCTGTTTTGTGTCGGTTGAAGAAATGCTCCAGCCGGGTGAACCATAGTTCTGGGTCTTGCTTATCAAAGGCTGGTAATCGATTCTTAGTCACCACCAAAGTGTCAACCTCCAGTGAAACTGATTCATCGACAATATCGGAATCAAAATCAATGGGGTTAGACATATTTTTAAAAAAAATCAAAATTAATAGATAAACAAGTAAAATGAATAAATGCAACAATACACGTTATCGGGCTCGCCAATGTTGGACCCAGAGGCTTATGGCTGACGCTATGAACGGTTTGCTCTGGATAACCACAACGTAGCAGATAAAAAGGCAGTAGTAGAAGTAGAACGCGTTTATTCCAAGTACTCTAGTGGGCAAGTTCAGCGGGCGAAATCAAACGAGTACATTAAAAGTTATTCATCACTCGATTGCAGTCAATAGTGAAAATAAGGCTTACAACAGATAGAAATCATAACCAAGTTTACTGGGCACTACAAATGTACTACCTGCCCGCCTTCAAGAATATTGGAAGATTCAAACAGTAGCCGAATAATACCTAATTTCGAACTGTGCTTGCTCCAGTATGCTGAACAATCGTTCTGCGAGGCGTTGACGTTCTTTCTCTAGACGCACCTCTTATTTGCCATGAATAACGGTATCTAATGTTTAGCTTTAGATTGTACATGATGGTCATTTTTGTCACCAAAATGACCAAACCTGTATTCTGGTTTGTACTCATGTAACTTACGCTTTATGAGACATATATTATTACTATTATAAATTTGAAGATCTACAAGCAAAAAACAAGTTGTCACAAGAGGCAGTGAGGACTGGATTTCAGGGGAATATAGAAGAGACAGAAGTGATGAAGACACCCAACCAATAACAAGAAGCACCAGTCACTATCACCATCAAAGGGAGCAACGGAAATCCAAACGAAGTTGTCTGTTTCACCTGCCTACTTAAGCAGCATCATTTCAAGTACAGTTGGTGACACATATGAGGACGTCAGAGCCAGGATCGGAAACATAGCAAGGCAGGCTTTCATCGATCTGAAATCAGTGTGGAGATCTGCTTCACTGCATTCCACTCAGCATAAGGCGTGAACGAAATCGGGATTTTCGACAGTAATTCAGTCAAGTTAGTCAGTGCTTCTGTGTGATGGTTGAGAGACTTGGGGCGCCACGATAAGCATTTCCAAAAACTACAGACGTTCATAAACAGCTACCCAGGCTCGACACTGAAGATCAGATGACCAGAATAATATGAATAAGCAGCAAGGAACTTTGGGGACGAACCAAAGAAGAACTCATCGCCATCAAGTGTACAGAAGAAAGTGGAGATAGATTGGGCATTCACTGAGAAGACCATTCGAAGACGTTGCGCGCCAGGCCGTCGAGTGGAATCCAAAGGGGAAACGACGGGTTGGGCATCCCGCAGTGACATGGAGGAGATCATGTGGGGAAGAGATTAAAGCTTGTGGGCAGTCGTGGAGCCAGGTAAAAAAGACTGCACAGAACAGAGTAGGATGGCGACGTGCTACTGAATCCCTATGTTCCACTAAGAACCCAGAAGACAAATTTATGTTCACGGTGGGCGTCCGCTGATCGTGTTATCTGTGGCCTTCTCTTGTGTACCTGTTTCGTGCCCCTGCAACCAGTTTCTCACAAGTGGGAGTCGGCGGTTCATTGCTTTTAAACGTGGAAGTCGGGTTTTGACGTCACTGCGAGTCCGCTTCAATGTATCATGGAGTTCCTGGTTGGTGGGAGACAGGGTAAGGATAACCTCTGAACTCTGCTTTTAGGAGTCGGTAGAGGTTGAAGTGCCGCAAGACGCAGTCCTGGGTTCCTTGTGATTTCTTCTATACATAAATGAGCTGCTGAATATGGAAAGATCCCCTATGGCTCTCTGCGCTGATGTGGAAACCTGGTGGGAAATTATGGATGACGAGGATTTGTGTGTACCTCGGATAAGCCTAAACAAATTGTTACTTGGTCGGAGAAGTAGGTGGTGCCTATCAGCACAGGTAAATTTGTGAGCACGCGCATGAGGCACGCATATGGCAACACCTACGATATTGATAGGACCCCTCGACCCCCATTACTGACCCACAGTGGCCTAGGAGTCACGGTGATCCGAAAAACCACTGCACGCCGTCGATCAATCGCAGCTCGAGTTTTAGGACCTTTTGGGTATTATGTGGAACGCTTACAAAAATAGGTGGTGATATGTTCACAACGTATACACGGTGTTAGTTAAGTCTGAATTAGAAAACCGTACACAGGCGGCAAACCCTTGTGTGAAGGGTGACTCACACCTCCCAAAAACAGTTCAAGGGGCTGTCATTCGTGTGGTTCCTGAGATATCCAGCCTCACCTACAAAGTTCGACTTAAGGAGCTGAGCCTCTTCTCTTCATTTTATCGCAGATAGAGATCTAATCTTGCTACACCGTAGTCTAAGAAATGACTCCGAACCTGGCCTATCTTCTCTTCCCCCTCTCGCTGGGTCGGAGCATTTCAGAGTTTATAGCAGGAGAATACGAAGGCAAAGAATGAATGTAGTCTCCTCAGAGTACTGGTTGTCACGTCGAGTAATCAACTTTTGGAACCGGCTCCCGGAAGAAGTGTCCGCGTCACCAACTGAGCAGTTCAAAAGAGGGCTAGAAAAACACAGGGATATGCCGGAAGAGGATTGATGTGGGCCAGAAGCTGTCTGTCCTCAGAAAACAGATCCGAATCTGAGTCTCCTATTCGTTCACCTACGATTTGAAACCCTTTTACCAACAGACTTTACCACAGCTTCTGGTTTGTTGCACCAAAATTCTAAAAAGACTATAAGCTACTTGGAAATAATTATAATTGATCATGAAAAAACCAACTGATTCACATGAGCCACTAAAGCAGATATTTAATATTGAAAGTGCTACAGAGCACTTGTTAACATTTGCGTTAGAGTGGGCCATGCGGAAGAGTTGGTAAGAGCCTATCAAATAGACAGTTGCGTCAAATTTTTTACTGTCCTGGCTGGACTTTGCTTAACTGCTTAAGTAAATTTGTAAAGCACTGAGTAATCCGAATTCGGAGAAAACTCATTCTATATATCTAAAATTTGCAGCTTTGAAACTTGAAGCTTTATCATAAGTTAACTTGCAAATGTCGGATTCAGAGTCATCATGTGTAAGTGCCTCTATGTTACCACTGTTCACTGATTATAGGACGTACAGGAGATCCTGGCCTGCCCTGGATTGTATCAAGAGTTCACACAAGCTCCCAAACATGTCTACAACAAGGTAATGTTTTATCCAATGTATTTTCTGTAACTGCAACTCTACCATAAAGTATTAAAACATGACTTTATAGGTATATAATAATGAAACGGTTCAATGATTGTTGACGGGACAGAAAAAGCTTTCGCTTGACTGACTTCCGTGTCTGGAATCCGTGGTCCACTTCTTGTGGTTGTTGACCTGTGTACAAGTAGACAGAACTAAAAGTAGCAGCTAAATTTTGGAAGTTCAGCTAGTTCTGTGCTGATCCTACTCACATCTCAAGTAAATGGCAAGCCGGTGTTAAAGGGATTCAGACGAAGTAGCTTGGATCAATTCTGCAAATAGAACATTCCAGAGTTGAACAACTCCTAGGGAATAGAAGTTGTCTGATATCTAACCTCGTTTGCTCTAGGCTTTGTTTCTGTATATGTCCTTTAACTAAGATTAGTGCCACAAACTAAGATCCAGTAAATAACAGACTGGGTGTACAGGGGTGTTCAGGATGTTATGAGTCATTATTAAGTCTCGTTTTAGTCTTCCACATTCCAAGCGCAAGTAGTTGTACTTCATAATTTTTTAGACCTAAGTCCTCATACGGATTCGGTTGAGCGCCTCCGGATAAATTAGGGCGGAAAGGTGACATTTTAATTTAAAAAAATTGATTTTAAGGTCACTCAAAATAAGTAATAGTTCTTCTCTAAGTGTTTTCAGTGTCTAAACTTTCCCCGTAGGACCGTAAAATGAGCTCACGAATGTCACGATCCTAAGCGCACCAAATGACCAATGGCAAGAGGAAGGTTTGTTATAAACGGCTTTTCCGTCACAACAATGAGTTTAGGAAGTTAATATTGTTCTACACTATTGCTAAACTTCTTCAAGTTCTCGATCAGTTTCTGAAGTCACAATTCCATGTAGATTCAGTAAAGATGTTTAACCGGATTTCATAACACTTGATCTCCAGACCCGTGGTAGGAAGTTTCCAATTTTTACTTTCGTAAGGTTATCTTCATGTGTATTTCTTTCGCTTGTCTCACAAATTTACAAACGTAAGCGACTGGGGACAATGAAATAGTCCCTCCGCATTGACATGGCATCGAGTTTCATGAAATTCGTAGGTTACCGAGAGATAACGCTGTTGTTCATACATAGTCTTACCACCATGTCACTAGTAAGGTGTGTTTTTGTCTACTTTTCAATAAAGCTATCATCATCAAAGACTGACTACCCTTCCATCTGTACTCTGTTTGGTCATCTCAAGGTCACTTAAGATGGGGCCACAGGTGACAGAATTATTTAGTCGTGCCGATTTTTCGTTTTTTTCATTACAGCTGTGGTTCATTGTCTTAGGCAATCTACTTTCAACAATTGGTTTCTAGATTCACACCTTGCCTCACTTTGTCCTGGACAATAGGGTAGTATGCTCAGTTATTGCATAGTTCATAGTGTGGTACATAACTCTGCATCCGATTTTGCACCAATTTATTTTGACAGTCGGTCAATTTGTTTAGTTTCGCTCTGATCTGGAAAGGTGTCACAAACAACAATGATAACAGTTAAACTGCTGATGATGAATAGAGTGAAATCTAGCCGATATCCACAGTTGAATTCATTACTTTTAGACGAGAAAAAGCCCTTTACTGTCATATACTAACCAGAGGTTTATTCGTTACCCCTTTTAATGAGAGTTTACAGGTTTCCCTGCAGTATTGCTCACTTTTGTTCGGAACAGTATTTGAACAGTACTGAGTTCAAAAATAGATTACTAGGCAAGAAAGTTAATTCAGTCGATGAAGTGACCATAAAAGACTGAGATGGCTTGGATATATACTGCCCATACATAACCATCGCCTACTTTGATACACGATGTTAGACAGACTAAGTTTGGGTTGAAAGCTAAGAATGCGCAAACCAAAACATGATACCAGCGCATAAACTTTTTGACTGTTGGTCTAAGTCAGGCAAGGAGATGTGAGTTGCTTGACCTAGATCATCGGAACGACAGAAATCAGGGGTCTGAGAATCCTAACGGTATGTTTAAAAATCAATTACAGTGATGCAGACGTATACATCCTTTGCCAATTCTCACATTGATCTATGTATTATTTTGCTGCTCACACTTTTATCTGCTTTAATCTTATTCTTTTTCTGTCCGCTTGAACTGATTCATTTTTGTCTCAGGTTCTGCGTTGATTTGTTGATCTGTATATCTCATATTGCAAAAGGTGGTTATTTGCCATGCAAGTGATATATCAAAGCTTTCGGATAAATGAGTTAACCTCTGCCTTTAAAGTTGTTTAAGTGAATGGTAATCAATGACTGGTGAATTTATTTGAGTGGTATCAAAGCTTGCTGTATTTTTTGACGTCATGAGTGACCCACAAACCACTGAAATTTTGATATAGGAAGTTTTAAATAAATTTTAGAAGTTTAGGTACTTCTAGTACTCAAACAAAAGTGGCTAAAATGCTTTATGAATCTTATATCAGCCGACGAGCAGTTGATTTATGACTGCATCATCGTACTTCGCTCTTCGACAGGTTTTGGAACAGGTGTATTTGCGGATACCCGACACCAGCTGTATTTATCAGTATGAAGGTGGCAGTCGACTTCGTTGACCGAGATATGTTGTTTTGGTGCTTGTCTTTGAAAGGAGCACCGAACAAATCAAAGCTGTCTACACACACTGATGCACCCGTTTAAAAGCCTGTGAAGAGTCTTATGAGATGCCGACAAGTCGTGGTGTTCATTATGGATGCCCACTGTCACCTTTCTTGCATGCTAGACGTGCCTATAAATATAACCCAAAGTACTTTTGACTACCAAGAGGTCACCTAGTCGACTTACAGCAGGCAGATGACATAATCCTGTTAGGTGATATTAACAAAATCCAGTTTCTGAACATATTAAGCAGAAATGTGAGTGTGGTTAGCATGCACTTTTCACCTGTCAGGTACAAAATAATGTTTCAAGTTTGATGTGCACTGAATTTCAGTTTAGAGTTGAGAAATGAAGTGATTGAGCACACTGATTACTTCACTTACTTGAGTAAACGATACTGTCCTGCTAGGTGAAGACGCTGACGTAATATAGGGTTTTGTGAATGCTTTGAGCAGAAATCTGTGTATGTTTAGCATGATTTTTGCTGGCACTTGTGAAGTGTGAGATGATGCTCCAGGATTCGTGTGCTGCAAGTGTTTCCAGTTGAATGATAGAGAGTGAAGTGGTGGAATATGTCGACGAAACCTCAGGTTGGATACAGAAGGCCCGTTTTGCATTCGCCAACTTACGTCACATATGGCATCGGCGAGATATCCGACTATCTATCAAAGGAAGAGCATACTGCACTGCAGTCAGTCCGTTCTGTCCTGTTGTAGGGTTTTGAGACATGGTCGTTAAAGGTAGAGGACATGAAGCGGCTGCAGGGTTATGGTCATAGGTGTCTTCGTAGCATTGTTCTTGTTTGATGGAATCCCTATATAAGCAATGTTGAGGTCAGGGTAAGGGTAGTTGCCAAGAAAGACGAGTTGGTTGATGAGGTTGTGAACGTTAGTCGACTGAGATGGCTTGGATATGTAGTGTGCATACCGCACCACCGCCTACCTCGATGTGCGATACTGGATGAAGTTGGATTAGTATGGAAAGGGGTTCAGAGTGACTAGACCGGAGTAGATGTAGCATCAGTCGATGAAGTCCCTGAATGTTGGTCTGAGCCGTGTCGAAAGATGTAGACTGCGTTGTTGTGGTCCCGAAGACAGAAGGAATCAGTGGTTGAGGGCTGACATTTGATGACATTGTTGGAAATGGATGACAATGGTGCAGTTGTATTCACTCCTTGATATCTAAAGCTTTAATATTCACAAGAATCTTTATTTTCAGACTGTTTATTCCCTCACACTACTTTATCTTCATTTGTATCACTCCTTTCCTATCCACCTGTTCTTTGTGTACTTCTGTGAAGTTTAGGAACTTCAGGTGATGGACTCATGTATGAGTTTGTTCGTTGATTTTGTCCGTCAGTCAGGAGTTGCATCAATCTGAACATGTTTGCTCAGGAAATCTCAACTCCTATTCCAGATGTCCCCTCTTCATTAACCAACTTGTATCACATTTGGTCCCGGGGAGATGTCTAACCTAGCCGTAAAGTTTCAACCTTCAAACCTAGCATTGCTGGGCAACAGCCTAGTTTGCCAAACCTTATCGGCATATCAGGATATAAAGCGTCAAGATGAAAGCTAAGAGAGTACTCTAAAGTGGTAGGATATCGTGAGAAAGAAAAAGTGGAATAAGACTTATAAAATTCAGTATGACGATTAGGCTGAAGGTAGTATGTGGAGGCATCTTCACCACCACGATCGATTCTGAGCCACATCACCTAAAGTTTCCAGCCACCGATTTCACTTGTCAAGCGGTTTCTAACCGAGAAGTGTACAGGGATCAGACCAATCGTCAACAACTTCTCTGAACTGATGCAATGTTTTGTTTTGGTTGCACCTGACATTTTCCCAGCCTAAACTTATTTCATGTAAAATTACGCCACTGGGCAAACGGCGACTAAGGGTGCATAAAACATGCCCCAGCCATTTGAGTTCATAAAGATTTACAAACCCAAGTATCTGCACCTGACTTCTACATTACTGACATAACGATACCAGGATACACGTCTTATGCCGTTGTTGAAAAAGCTGAGACCTCTTTTCTTTTATCTTCAGTGGCTGTTTTTCACAACCATATGTTAGAACAGAGTGGACTGTAGCAGGACTCTCTTAATAGGCAACGAAATGTCACAGCAGTGCCATAAATGGTGTAGGTTGTTAAAGGCCAGTTGAGTCTTTTGTATCCCTGCCCACTTCGTTCGTCACTGACCTGTCGGGGTTGATCCCACTTCTCAAGTAAGTGAAGTAGTCAGTGCACCTGACCATTTCACACCTTATTTTCATACGAGACGCAAACACAGACCAGTCATGCAGCAAAAATTACATTTAAGTGATTAGAAGTCCATCCCAAACATTCTGGAATGATTA